GCCTGCAATGTCCGCACTTACTGTCCACTTTAAACAGAGCCTCTCGACGGGATGCGTGAAATGTGAGGCTTTCACGAAAGCCTGTCCGGTAACCTGCGTCCGGGAGCGCGTGATCGGCCAGAGACGTGGAGGTCAAACTTTCATCGACTGAACCATCCGCATAACACCGTGGGAAAATAGGCATGTCCAGACAGTGATCCTCGTAGCCTAGAGAAAGATGGGCCCGCCCGCGGGGTTTCCTCATAGAGCAAATGTCGGTCCATGTCTTGTAATGTCGTAACGCTCCCGCTGAGAGAACCCGCGCCATTATAAACAGGACGACGTTGTAGTAGAATGGTTGACCGACCAATTCGTAGGGTATATGTTCCGGTCTCGTCTCAGTCAGTATTCTGAAAAATCCCGAGACCCAGGAGGAACCTACTGCTCTCGGGGTAGATCTTGAAGGCCCTTGGCCTTGTCTCGCCGGAGGTCAAACACGATCTGTGGCTGATCGGTCATCCAGACTTGATAAATTCCAATGTCCTATGAAGGCGGTCAGTATGTCTCGGCATCTCGTAAAGATGTTTTCCCCTACACGGAAACGAAGATTCATTTCGAACTCGCCGGCGCGAGCAGATGTCCCACAGTGGAGAAGTTGAAGACAGTGCAACCCCCACCGGTATAACTCGTGGTGATAATCATGCCAGTCGTTCTGCCACAGCTGACGAGAAACGGCCTCGAAGTCGAGAAGAGTGTAGTTTTTGGTCGGTCTCCTCTCCTTAGACAGATCCAGAACGTTATCATCGCCTCCATCGATGAGCTGCGAACTTCGTCAGAATCAACTTGCTCAATAGCCCAGGAACCTCCACGTACGTTTAGAATTGTGGAACGTAGGGGCTTTGAGAAATGGTCGCCCGTCTTCCGCTGCCAGGTGGTCATGAAATTTTTCCAGAACGTCTCCGCGGTTGAGTCTAAGATCTTGCGTTCCCTGTCTACTCGACCTTTACCTTGCCTTCCTCTTCTATAGAAGATGAGAAAGTCCTTCGCCGTCTTGGCCTGCGTGGGGCTCGGCCTACATCCTGGAAAGAGTTCCGAGTACTCTTGGACGAACCTGTCGAAGCATCAGAGGAGATCGCCTCAAACCCGAAGACGTTGAGACAACACATACAGGTCCCATTCATGCAAGACAGTCTTGTAGTTGTTCGCTGTCCCGTCCCTGACGGGTTTCAGAGTGAGAGAATCATCAGTCGTCCGTATGGCGTCAACGAATCCGTTGGAATCCCGGAGCTTCTTACGCTCCAGGTCTCGCGGAGTCAGAGAGATAGCCATATGACGCGAATATCTTCGTCAATCTCGAGGAAACATAAAACTCCAGAGGTCACTAGGACAGAGAAACAAGAAATCTGGGCCTCCGTGAACGACAGGGCCTGCCTGGTGTACTAATAACATACCAAGTTGTCTTGGGCAGGCAAGGGGGAAATGAGGGCGACATAAAACCACGACTGCGCGGCCACGTCGGCGCAACAGGGGCCCAACGGTGCTAGGATTTTCAGGAGCATGATGGCTGCCCCCTTTGGCTGTGTGTTGCTTCATGCTGTGCTGTACCGTAGACGGCGCCATTGTGCCCTTCGGTCTCACGTTGACTCTCATATCACACACGGCCCGCCGCGGATTGGCTCACGCTGCCAGCAAGGGGGACACAGCCTGGCGCACTCCGCAGACCCAGGTCGACCTATCAGGGCGGCCGGCGCCCGGTGGCTGCGTGGTTGAGTCAAAGGTGAGTCGAGGGTGAGTCGAGGGTGAGTCGGGTGAGGTCGAGGTGCGCGGCGGATGAGCCGTGGAGCGCGTCGACTGTGAGGGGGGTGTGATTGGGGTGAGTAAAGGGGCGAGCGAGGGCGCCGAAAGCGGCAATCGACGTCCCAAGAATCTGGGACGAAATACTATATATTAATCTTTATCTATTTACTCACTAAACTATATATATTTATTTATATTTAATATTAAAGAAATCCTATTAATAAGTTATTTAGTATAATCTCCTATATATATTTATTAATCTTCGCTATTAATAGTTATCACTATTATCGCTATCACTAGACCTTAATTAAGCCCTTTATAATGAGAGAGTAATAATAATTAGAATATATAGAAGTACTTTAATTAGCTAGTAACTAAATATTTTATTTATATATCTAAGTTACTAGAGATTAAGCTCTTTATTACGGATTATAAATGAGACTTCTTTAATCTATAAATATATATAGATAAACATTAAAAGGCTATAACTATTTTAGCTAGTTTTATAACTAAAATCCATAATAACCTTAAGGAATTTACGCGTTTAGCTATAATAAGTAAAGATAGTTTTAATAATAGTATAAATAGATATTTAGTAAGTATTATATTATTAGGGAATAATAGTTAATAAGGGCTTATTATATAACTTAGTGTGATATTAAAATTATTTTATGTGTTATTATCTTACACTATATTTATTATAGTATATAGCTTAACTAATTATAGTTAGCGTAATTATATAGTAGCTATATTTATATAACCTTAAGAATAAATAAATTAAGGTATATAGACTAGGCTTATTATTATAGAATAAGATATCTATAGCCCCTTCTTTTTTTATTTATTCTTTACTAGTTACTATATCTCATTAAATATAGCTATATCTATAAAAGTAATTATAAGCTATCTTAACCTTATAAACACTAGTTATTACTAAATAAATAAAGGTATTAAAACTATTTTTATAATAATAGCTTAGTTCTCTATTCTTTTATATTCACTTCTTTAACTCATAAAATAATATCTTAATTAGATTAAGCTCTAAAGTATATAGAGATAAGTACTTAAGAATAATACCCTACTCCTTACATATTCACTTAACTCTATTAAATTAGTGAATAATTATATTATCTATAATTAAAATAGAATGATCTCCTAAGAAGGGATTTATCTTATTAAGCACTCCTTAGAGAAATGTTTTAAATTATTCAGTATTAAAAGAGCCTTAATAGACCTTATAAGTGAGCTATCTATTTATTATTATTATAGGTAAAATGCTCTAACTAGTAAATTAGCTACTTAGTAGTTATACTTAGCATAAAGTATTATGAGCTAACTAGCTAAACTTTCTATCTATAGTTTTATTATTTATAGTACTTTTATTAAGTGTTACTAGCTAATTACTAGTGTAATTAGCTATCTATACTATATAAAAAGTAATAAGTTTATTATCTTACTTAGTATTAACTTTAGTTACTTATTTATATATAACATTTATAGAATTAAGTACCTAGAAAACTATTAATATATAAGCGTTAATACTAAACTCATTATAAAGAAAATCGTAGCACTTATTTAGCTATACTATTAACTAATCTAGTATAAAATCATGAAGTCCTTTCATTATAGCATAATAAATTAACTTTAAATAATCTTTAATAGGTACTATATTATTTATTTTAATGTCTTAATAGTGTAGATCCCATTAAACTTTAGAAATATAGGCATTAGAAACCCCTTAAGCCTTTATAATGGCTATATCTTTCACTCCTACCTAAAGTATAATTAATATAGTCACTTTTATCGTAGGATTAAACTTCGGCTATAATAGCATCATAATCACACCTTTTTATATAGTAAAATTTAAATACTTAGATAGAGAATTTACTCTAGAGTAAGATTATTATATAATATTTATGAAATTATAGAGTAGTTATTAAGAAATATAGTGTTATATTCTTATCACTTTTATAATTATTAAATGTTTTATATATTATAAAAAAATAAGGTTTTACGGAATTTTGTAAAGCATAATAACTTAGTTAGTAAGCTATAAATAAAGTTATAATGATAGTCTATATATTATACTTTACAAAATTCCGTAAAAACCTTATTTTTTTATAATATATAAAACATTTAATAATTATAAAAGTGATAAGAATATAACATTATATTTCTTAATAATTACCCTATAATTTCATAAATATTATATAATAATCTTACTTTAGAGTAAATTCTCTATCTAAGTATCTAAATTTTACTATATAAAAAGGTATAATTATAATACTATTATAGCCGAAGTTTAATCCTGCGATAAAAGTGACTATATTAATTATACTTTAGGTAGGAGTGAAAGATATAGCCATTATAAAGGCTTAAGGGGTTTCTAATGCCTATATTTCTAAAGTTTAATGGAATCTACACTATTAAGACATTAAAATAAATGATATAGTACCTATTAAAGATTATCTAAAGTTAATTCATTATGCCGTAATAAAAGGACTTTATGATTTTATGCTAAATTAGCTAATGATATGACTAAATAAGTGCTACGATTTTCTTCGTAATAAGTTTAATATTAACGCTTATATATTAATAGTCTCCTAAGCACTTAACTCTATAAATATTACATATAAATAAGTAATTAGAGTTAATACTAGATAAGATAATAAACTTATTACTTTCTATATAGTATAGATAGTTAATTACACTAGTAACTAGCTAGTAATACTTAATAAAAGTGTTATAAATAATAGAATTATAGATAAAAAGTTTAGCTAGTTAGCTTATAACACTTTATACTAAGTATAATTACTAGGTAGCTAATCTACTAGTTAGAGCATTTTACCTACGATAATAATAAATAAGTAACTCACTTATAAGGTCTATTAAGGCTCTTTTAACACTAAATAATTCGAAACATTTCTCTAAGGAGTACTTAATAAGATAAACCCCTTCTTAGGAGATCATTCTATTCTAATTATAAATAATATAACTATTCACTAATCTAATAAAGTTAAGTAAATATGTGAGAAGTAGAGTATTATTCTTCAAGTCTGTGTCCTGGCGCAAAGGGTGCCGTTTCGCGACGACGTCCGTAGCCGCTTTTGCGATCCCTTTCCACCGGCCGGCTCCACCTGTCCCTCGCCGCTTTTGACGATTTGACGTACAATCTTCCTCTCTCACCCGACCCTCTCTCAGACCCCCCTCTCTCTCTCTTTCGGCGTGTCTCACGTCACAATCTCAAAAGCATGCGTTGGCGACCTCCCACCCATGTCGAAGATCCTAGGAGTGAGACTCGTGGACGTCTCCCGAATTTCAAATTGTTTGCAGTTCTCCTGCCATCCCTCCGTCGAAATGCCCCCGCTCATCAAACGGAGTCGGAAGTCAAACTGGCTTCAGGCGACGCCCTGATGCACCTGCCCTTTGCCAACCGCTGTGCTAGCTGCACGAGCCCTGGATGAGATATATATACGACGGCATCGCCAACATGCCGACCTCACTTTCGTCACTTCCTCCTATTCCTCTTCACTTGTCCGATCCGTCCCTGCGTATGCTCAAGCCACATGCCTCGCCGAAAGAAGTTTACCACTGTCAACCTGAGTTCCGGGGGTTCATACTCCGGCCATACTACTGATGACGTCTGTACACTTGACGTCCTCGCCCGGAAATATGAGGAGGCCTTGTTGGAAACCCGTCCCACGACGCTGTATGCACCGAATACTATCTACCACGTTGACCGCATTCAGCGCCTCTTCGAGGAGTACGTGCCATGACCTGATAGTTGGGGACATCTGTTGACTCTGCAAAGATACTGTGACAAGTTCCAGCTTGATCCACAAGAGACCCTGCGCGAGTGTGCCACGGCTCGGATGGAGAACTTCCTACATTGGTTGCTCCGGACGTACACGATCAAGAAAACCAGTACACTGACGACCTACTGGCGGCAATTGAGTCAGCTGTACATTATGTGGACACAGCGTCGAATGGACCCGGCTGTCATGAGGCAAATCTTCGTGGTACGTAACACAGGGAATACTGTATACCGCCAGACCGCTGAAGCTACAGTTCATTGAAGGGCCATTGACGGAAGAATATGGCCTGGACAATGAGGAGATCGAGAAGCCTCTCATGGAGGCGGACGATTTCGTCGAGCTCATCCGTTACCACTGGGCCTCGGATATCAACTGGTTTCCCAATGAACGGCAACGACTCCAGTTGGCGGCGATTCTGTTGCTGGCAGCGTTCACCGGGTCTCGACCTCAAGCCCTGCTGGACTTGACCTACCGCGACCTGGACCTCTACATCGAGAAGGACGCCGAGACTCGTGTCGACATGCTGCGCTTGGGGGTGAAATTGACCAAGACTAAGTCCCGCCAGAAGCGGAAACGACCGTGAGTACCACTCGGTTGGGGAGTTCTTGTGGCTAACCCTGCTACAAAGGAAAACGTACACCTTCAATTTGGACGACAACCCAATCTTCTGTGTCATCACCCACATTGTCAGCTTGGCCTTCGATGACTCGGCTTTCGGGCCGCCCGATCTGAAGTCACCCGATGTTCTCTTCCGTCTCCGGGCGCGGCGGGAAAAGGGATGTCAGCCGATCCCGTGGAGAAAGGAGATGCTTGACGTGCCTATTTTTCGCCGTGCGATCGCCACCAAGGAAGGCGTCAAGACCTCACCAGACAGAGCTCTGACCTACAACGTCTATCAGGCATGGGTCAAGCGTCTAGGTGAGGCGTTGGGTTACCTCCAGACGCTGACGACGTACTGCCTCCGCCGAGCTCTGGGCAACGCTATCAATGGTAGGTGATCCTCTCCAATAGTTCTTCTGAGCAGAGTTCAAACTGCTAACGCAAATACTTGGCTCAGATGATCCCAAATCCAACGCCGCTGTCCGCAACCTTGCCCTAGATCATGTTGGATCTTCCACGATCTTCGAACGGAACTACCTGTCTCGGATGATCCGCTACAGTACGCAAGACGCGTTCTGGAACCGGGAGGCTGATCCGCAGGCGGCCAAATCAGGCGGCCGCATCGGCCGTCTCCGCGATCCGAACCGACCGAGAAAGCTCACCAACGAACAGGGTCAGCAGGTTCGACGCTTGCCTTCTGTCCACCGACTTCTGGAGTCGCGAGATCGGGTTCGCGGTGTCATCCTTCGGGAGTTTGGCTTTCTTCGAATGGCGATCGGAGAACCAATCCATACCGAGTACAAGAAGTTGGAACGTATGGTTAACAGCACGATTCGAGCTGAGGAACGAGCTCTGTTGAAGTGTATTCAGCGGCAGTACGACAAATCAGCGCCTGTTGAGGCGATTCAGCGACAGATCAAAGGAACCTCAGCTGAAGGGCAAGAGCTTACTTCAGAGTCCACCCCGATGCAGATCAAAATCCCTGAACGACGGCAGATTGCGGAAGCGGCCATGAGCGACCCCGCTGTATTCACCGGTCCCAAGGCTCTGTCCCGGCACATAAAATGTTCCGCAACCATGATCTCACTATGTCGACAACGTGAAGGGCGACGTGAAACACGACGTGAAAGACTGTCTAGGAAATATTCACGTTCCACAGGAGAAACAGACACAGCGACTACTGTAGTCTCTACGCCGACTCTGCCGCTCTCGTCGACGCCCGAAGGCTGCGTGCCGTTGACGTGTCAGGAATTTCAATGCCTCTTCTGTCTCTGCAGTAATCTCCCCCAGGAAGATCGGGAGAAACGGTATGCCGGTAAACACTCGCTCCAGCGACACGCCGAACGCTGTCGCCTCCGACACTTTCAAGAAAAGGATCGAATTCCTTGCCCCGACAAGGTGGCTTGCCGTGGAATGGTTTTCGAGGGAAAATCGCACTTCAAGAACCATGCCGCCTCGGCACACCTTTTTGTCTTATAAGCTATGTTAACCATCAACCAAACATGCTGTTATATGCCGACCGAGGCTGTGCTCGACATCGGCACGGACTCGAAGTTGAGTCTTTTATTGTCGACCGCACATGGAGACTAGGCCAGGTAATCAATAGCTGGACTTTCTTTCAACAATGCCTCTTCTCAGTTGACTGTAATTCTCGCCCCGAAAGTATGCTCTGCGAATGCCTTTAGATCCAAACATTGAAATCACTCTTAGCACGCTATGCCACCGTCCACGCCCTCGAGTGGCAAGACTTTTCTCAGGAATATTCGACAGCCAATCGTACCATGCGCCATTAGCTAGACTTGAAGGTAGACCTGAAGTTTGACAGACCCAAGTCAACCACCGGTATTTCATAATCGGCGGCATGGGGTAACAGAAATGGATAGTCGCCACGAGTTCATCATTTGACATGGAGACTATTTTCTGCCCGGGGAGAAAATTATGACGGCAGTCTTGGCACTCGTCATGTCCATCGAAAGTGCGTAGATCGCCACCTTTTTCCTCTATTCTACGAATCTCGAAATGGAAGAATGCTTACGCAACAATCAGAAACATATATCTTATAGGTGGCGTAGACTTGTTCTTAAGAAGCATGCCTAGATCAGAGATGCGGATTACGTATTGATCTTCGAGCCTGCGTGCTGTTGAACGTTTAATGAATCAATCCGTCAAGGACGATTGTTCCGCCCCGATTGCGGCTAGCGCCAAGAGTAGACGATCTAATAAGGTTCGAGTACGCGGGTCTTCTTTATGCCCAAAAACTACAAGTAGTCAAGGTCGTCTGCTCTGCGGCAAGAGATGATCTTCTACTTGATATCAACAAGGGATGCTCCTTAGCCCAGAACTCTCATTTCATCCAAATCATCTTTTCGTGTCTCATCAGCCTCCACATTTTTGTAGCAAACATGGATGGTGCTCCTAGCCACGAGAAAGCGAGGTCAGGACAGGTTGCGTACCATTGGAGAGATGATCAAGGCGTTCTTGCCCGCATTTCCAAGCCATTCCGTGGCATGTATCACGATGTCTGTCGGCGACGACCTTATTATCGCAGTGATTTCCAGGATGGCTGGGCTTATCGTGTCTTTGCAGGCACCATCCGGATCTACTTCGTCAACCTCTTGCCTGCATTGGCGTTCCAGCTCGACATGTCGTACAATACTGATGGTTTCTTCGGGATAAATGAAGCTCTCTTCGCGTCCGCACTTGCAGCGATTGTCTTCAGCCTGTTCTCTGCTCAACCTTTGACCGTGGTCGGCGTCACGGGTCTCATCTCCCTGTTCAACTACACTATCTACGACATTATCGAGTTACACGACGTCACGCTCTATCCGCGATTCCTGGTCTGGGTGGGTATCTGGGCGGCTGTGTTTCACTGGGCGACGGCCATCTTCAATCTTTGCGACTACATGCGAACCATCACGGACTTTTCTTCTCAAACCTTTGGGTTTTATGTTGGCACGATCTATGTCATCAAGGGTTGCGAGGAACTCAGTATTGGATTCCAGAATGGACAAATCTCCAATGGCTTTGCCTCTGCACTGGTTTCAATCCTTTACTTCCTCACTATCTATATGCTGGAGCAAATTGGGCAGACGACTTACACTCGCGGCTCGCTACGGACACTTCTATCTGACTATGCTTACCCCATATCAACAATATGGTGGACTGGCTTCACTCATTTCCCGGGTAATCTGTCTTATGCCCACTTTGAATATTTACCCAAATCCCGCGCTTTCTTCCCGACCGTCGATAGAGCCTGGGTGGTTGATTTCTGGACACTACCAGCGAAATGGATCTTTGTGGCCGTTCCTTTCGGCTTCCTCATGACGCTTTTATTTTACTATGACCACAACGTCTCTTCTCTTACAGCTCAAGCTCGCATCTTTCCTCTGAAGAAGCCAGCAGGGTTCCATTGGGACTTCTTCCTCCTCGGATGTACCTGCTTTATCGGAGGCCTCTTGAACATTCCCCTACCTAACGGCCTTGTCCCACAAGCACCGGTCCACACCGACTCACTTACATATTACAAAGACGAGCCTTTGATCATCGAAACGAAAGATCAGGATGAGCCGATCATCATTCGCAAAGAGACCGAGGCTGAAAGAGTCGCCGAGCAGCGCGTCTCACATTTCCTTATGGGTCTAGCCCTGGTTGGAACAATGACAGGACCTCTTTTGACTGTTATTTCGCTCATGCCGCGCGCCATCATTAGTGGCGTCTTCTTCACTGTCGGTTTCGGTAGTATTTTGACGAGTCCGGTCCTAACGCACAAAGTGGCCTACCTTCTCCGAGATCCGAAGTTCCAGTCTCCTTCGGATCCTCTCAATACCATTCCGCGGCGGCAAATCTGGCATTATTTATTCTGGCAATTTCTTGGCTATGCTTCTACCGTGGCAATTAGCCAGACAATTGCCGCGGTCGGATTTCCTGTCCTCATCATTGCTTTGATTCCTATAAGGTGGAAATTACTACCTCGACTTTTCACAAAGCATGAGCTAGAGGTTATGGACTGCCTTACTGCTACAGGAGATGTGGTATTAGCCTCCTTAGGGGGGAGACCTGAGATGCCCGAAGCAAGGAGGGAGCGCACAAAGAAGCAACTTCAACGAGATGTTGAGGCCGGCGCCGCGGGGCTCGCTGGAGGGATGCTTCGGGAGGACGACGTCGACCTGCGCATGAGATCGCGGGAGAGGAGTACCGGTATGGGGATTGACGGGGGTGCCATCACGAGACGAAGATCCAGCATTGGGAGTGGGAGGGCCCGTCATACCTTGGGAAGCCCTTCGCGTTCCGCCGAAACGGGCATCGGTGAGAACGGCGGGACTGTCACGAGGAGGTCCAGCGTCAGGAGTACGAGGGAGTGACCGTCTCTGAGGAGTCACGAGCGGACTGGGGGTGGTAGAAGCGACGAGATGGTTGAAGATAAGTTGGAGTAGAAAGCTTTCTGAATAGGCGTGCTAAGAAGTTGGTCATAAATGCAATTCTATTCTCAAAATGAGTATCACGCCTTCAGAGGAACTGTGGATTGATGAAACCATAGTAGATACCTTAAGCTAGTAATTTCCTCCGACAATCCTCTTGGCTTTGTTCAAACCGACCATGCCATGGATATAGTCCTCTCCAACGTCGATCAAGCCTTGAGTATACTCGCACTTATAATTACTGCCCTGTAGGTAGCCTCCTTCCCTGGAACTTCACCCATCTCCGCAGGGCAAGGAAACCAGCTACAGGAGGATTGTCCCGAGAGAGACATAATTTTAAGCACCAGATCGTCTCTTAGTCTCGAATTGCTACCTTTGAAAGATTGAATAGTCCTGATTATTGTTCAGCCCCAGTCATAACTCATACCAGAGGAGTGGATCTGCCTTTACTGGCTTTCCTAGATGTGTTCAGGGTCAAACTAAATAGGATGGTAATTCTTGCCTATCGTGGTTGCGCAGCGGCGAAATCCCAGCAACAACATATGCGGAGGCACTCGACTGGCTCAACTCGCCTGTGGATAGCGACAATGTCCCCACGCTCTGGTAGACAATCTGCACTGGCAACTTCAATGTTGCTCTCGAACGACAAGGTCCGGAAATACTGATTTCTAGCAGAATGCTGTATCTTCGTGATAGATAAGGCAAGAAGAATGTGGGCGGTAGCGTTGAGGTACTCTCCACTGGAAGCAAGACTGGGTAGGATGCTGTCCATTCGGTATATTCTGAGCCTGCTGGATTTTTTCGTACCCAGTTTGACCACCTCATCTTCAGATGATGAGTGGAGCTGGCTTTTACAATGTGCCCCATCGAGGGTGACGTTGTTACTTGTCGGATTGTTGGTATAGCATTTGGCATATGCATACAGACAAAGGTCGAAGATTGTAGCCTCCAATTGATGGAGGCCTCTAAAACGTCTTGCGCGCAGCCTGCAAAATGCTCCTGGATCGTGTGCAACGTGACGTTGAGTAACACCTTTGTCGCTGCCAACTCCCCTGGCTTAGAGAAAATCAAGGCAGGAGGTTGCTTGGCTCCAATCGCCATCCTCCCAAGCTTCTGGAAGATGTACTTGCGCAGCAGACTCTCCTGACACACATTGTATTCCGGAGTGAAGTCTTCGATATCCAGAGGCGGGGCAATTTCGCTGCAATCAAAGATATTAATCTTTTGTACATGTGAGGCAAGGAGAGCGTCTCCCCGGTGGAGCCTGGCATGCAATGTGTAGGAAACGGATGCCGCCGTCTTGGGTCCCGAGTGCCTCAGTTCTGTCCATATTGGAGACTTTTGCTCCAGTGACGACGGTAGGCGTTGCCAGCGCTCAGGTCGATTCAAAAAACAGTTATCCTCGAAAAGGGGCCCAGGAGCGAGAGTGATCTTGAAGTGACATATCCAGCTTGAGTTTGGTACAGTTGCTCCCACTGCTCTTCTAACTCTATGTCTTTCAATAAAATCCAGCACCTGCTCCATCGTCAGCTGCTGAAGTACATTGATAACTTGTGGTAACAAATGCATTATGCACAATGTCAAATACCTTCTGACTGTATGCTAAGCTTTTCGTATCAGCAGTAGCCACAGACTGTTCTGCCCAGTTTATTGAAGTTTTGACATAACCTGTTCGTCCTCTCAGTCAAGAAACATCAATATCAGCATCTTCCCAGACCGATGAGTCGTATCTCGACCACTGCCTCCGAGAGCGTGTCCACTTCCATCTCTGAATCAAGGTAGAGGTCACCTGAAACTCCATCGTGGGTAAGGAAGGTTGGCTCCCCATGACGAGCATCTTTCGTCAAATGTTCCCCAGCACGAGGAGAAGAAAAGACAAATTTCATCGCCGTCTTGTCAATAGTGATGAGCTAGCACGATAATGACAGGACTGGTGCAGAAATTGGTAATATTCAGCATGGACAACCCGAGTGGATTCTGCGCTGTGGCCTTGGACTGATCATAAAGTCTAGGAGAAATTCCATGGAAATCTTTTGAAGACCTGACTGACGAGAGATCAGCAGAGTCATAAGCTTGCATACAAAAATCGTAACCGCGTTCGTCTTAGTGGAGGTGTGCTCACGGGCGTTTGAGCTGGTTCCCTTTTGGGGTGGATGATCCGGACGCTATCCATATTACAACGCTGCTGCTGATCTCGTGGCTATGCTGTCGCCTTGCGTATGCACTGAAGACGCATTCACTATCCATTATTTACAGACTGACGGATGAACCCAATGTCGCAGAAAAGCACAGGAACCTTTCATGGCAAACTTACAAGCAAAATCGTACCATATACGTTCTACGAAGCAATCAGAATGTTGAGAGGGAATAGGGTGAAAGTATCGAGCAACACTACCCCACAATACCCCAATTTCTGCCCGGGCAGAAAAAGTGGCCGAGGGTGTTAAATGACGTCACCACGGCAATACCCAAGGTGCCAGTAACACCGAATTCCGGTGTGGATGGCCAAGAGAGGATAATGACCAAAGGTTCATATAACGTATGAACATCTATCTTTTACCTCGGACCAAATTGTTTCTGATCAACCCTCTCTCCCCGGAAATCCAGATCGACCAATGGCCTTAAATGAACGACTATATAGGTTGATCTTAGAAGAAATTCGGACGCCTCTCGAGAAGGCGGTCATTGACGCCCTATCTTCGTCCCGCCAACATGGCGGAACATCCCTGTTGCGCCTCGAGGCTTGCCTTGATCATGGAGATACTAATACTTTGATGAATGCGCCAAATAAAGCTCAGCGATTCCCGCTGGTAAGTCTAGTTCTCATTCATCCTAGTTTGTTCTGTCTTGAGCACATCTGCTATGCGTAAAGCGGCCGGGCAATCGCTGAGCATGCGCTTTAGGCTACCATTCAAATTCCGTCGTTCCCAGGGGATGAGAACGGCGTGGGGACAGAAGAAGATAGGTCAGACCAGCAGTCCGTTCACATCGAACAGAGGACCGAGGCTTCCCGCCATATTTCGGAGGATGATCCTCTCGAGCATGATCATCGTCATCATAAGCGCCGGAAGGTTGTCGGGTCCCTGAGATTAGCCCATTCTGGACTTTGCACTCAGGATCCGTCACATGAAAAGGGCGCATCGCGGCGCTTGACGAGTAATGTTCGCCAGTTTCCAAAGCGGAATGTTCATACGGTCGCTCCCCAGCAGGAACTCTCTGCATTCGATCGACTTCTCATTGGTATCTGGAACCAGATTCATGGTAACATTGAATTGAATGCTACAGATAGTGTAAGCAAGCCTTTCACCAATTGAATAACAGTCAGCCCTTCACATTCTCCCCCTACTGGCTTCCAAAGCATATTCAAAGCGGAAAGGTCTTTGAAATCACAGGACTTCCCATGGTCCAGACATTTTGGCTTTGTATCGGCTTCTCTTCTAAATCAAGATTCTGACTGGACGATTTTTGTCGCATTGCAGGTTGGGTTATGGTATGAGATAACCCGGTCGAAAGCCACAACTGCGAGAGTCATCGACCACAGTCATGCTATAGATGTTCCTTCCGCGGTTCCGGCGAATTATTCTTTCCGAGGAATGAGTCAATGCTGTCGACAAATCACACAAGCTAGTCGCTGCTGCAGATCGATGGAGGTAATTGTTCAAGCTCGATGGATACAATGTTTCGACGAGCAAGTGCAAAGCCTTGCAAGAGAAGACTCCGGCCTATCACTCACCAAAGCTCGCATGGTTGCACTTGCGGACGCAAGCAAAGACTTTGGATGGTCTCTAAAGGAGCTACGGAATAAAATGTACGTAAGAAATGTCTTTCGGGTGTTTGTGCCCAGAATCTGCTTCCAGTTATTCTCTACCGCCGCGTTGTTCTCCCCGTTTTCTTTTATGCTAAACAAAGAATGGTACACTATAGGGCAATCTGGCGCGGCTACGACTCCATTCGAGAGGTCGGAGGCTGGGTGTCTCTAGTATTCGCCAGCATAGGCCTTTATCGCTTCTGCAAATATCGACTGGGATTTAGCTCCCAGAACATGACGACACTGAAGCGCCTCCGTATGCGATTTGAGGTCGCCGCCGACACCATCCATCCTGAATGGCGTCAGCTGCTGTCCATCATCGGGGAGCCGACATCTTGCGTATATACCGGCCATCCTTGTGACTGGGTCGTCGGTAGAGATCACTCACCTATCCCGTTGGGCGAAACGTACGCGCAGTGGACAAAAGATTTTCAATTTGAGCACTTGTCAGAAAGTATCATCGACGAGCAGGCATGGGGCTCGACAGATCCCCGGACAAAATATCGTACGGACCAATACACCTTACCGAGACACTTTCCGTGCGAGAAATGCGGGTCACTACAATCCAATGATCCAAGCAGAAACGAGTGCCATTGCTTCCCCACGCTGTTTGGCGGCATTGCGCGAAAACCATTCCCGGTCCAAGTTTTCCGCACGGAGAACGGAAGGAACAACGGGCTAATTGCTTGCTGTGTAACTGTGCACTTCCATTTCCAAAATCGAGAGGACTAGACACACTAACACCGAGAATCTAGCCATTTGAACGCGGCGCCGCGATTAGCGAGTTCATCGGCATCATCACCAGTGGCATCCGCGACCTTGACGTCATGCAAGCCACCGGAGGGGGCGGCATGTATCAAATCTGGCAAGGCCGCCGAGGGAACTGCACCCGCTTCGTCAACCACTCTTGTCAACCGAATTCACAGTACGAACGCTTCTCGTGGCTCGGTGTTCAGCGGATTGTGCTCGTATCCAAAGGCATCGCGATGGGCGAGGAGATCACGGTCGACTATTCTAATGACTACTGGAATCATCTGGATAAGGAATGCCTGTGTGGCGAGAGCTGTTGCCGGTTCAACAAAAAGGATGCTACTGCCTCGTTCAGTTAGACGGTGCCGTTGGAGCCGCCAGGAAGGCTTTCAGACTGCCCTCCAGCTATCCCTCAAGAGGTTCAAGTAGCTTGGACTGAAAATCTGCATAAACGAAAGAAGGAAAGATCGAGGACGAGAGCGAGAACAGTTATGTAATTTTACCGAACAACTTAGGAATTACCTGCAGTACCATCTAGAGAGCAGGAGAAGGAAGAGCTGCTACAGGAGGGCAGCAAAGAGACTGATCGGACAGAGCAGCAGCTCTTGTTGGAAGGGATCCTGCAGCGTGTCTGCCAGTAGCAATTTGTATAAACAGAACAGAAGCTACAAAGACATAACTTATTGACAGCATACGCACAAATATTCATCTGAGCCATGGCCAGAATTGATTGGATATTGAATAGCGCTCGTCCAGGCTGAGATACGGCTCAGAGCAGAACCTACAGTCTCGTCGAAAACCAAAGGGATAGTTCTTAGTGGCTGCTAATTTGAATCCAAACCCGAGACGTCTTGTGATCATCAGCGTCGAGAAGAAGATGGTCACAAAGTATACAATCAGAGAGGGGGCTACTCGGACAGCAGAGACAATTTAATGCACGATTTGCTGCCCCTGAGAAGTTAAAAGGACGAGAACTGTGTAAAGAAGACCTAAGGGTGACCACGGAGCGGTCCAATTAAGCAAGTTCCAGTCGTACCAGTTGGCGTTAACAGTCCTAAGAACAAAGCAGGTCGTAACAGCTGTTTAAGAGGTATCCCCAGAAATACTCCGACGCTCCTGGCGACCGTGGAAAACGCCACTTTATTACCTCCGTCATGACTCATAACGTTGACGAAGAGAATAATTAGGGGTGCGTAGAGGACCATCTGGAGCATCATATTGAAGGTCATAAGAACGGCGCAATACTTCTCCTCACCTCAGCAATATCTATCCAGATCAATGCCTTTAACGTGTTTGGGTAGTGAACATTCAACCAAACAAAATATTGTGATCCTGCGCTCTTTCCATGGCAATGAAACGTGCCAATCCTACGAATATAAGGCCATTGCGAAGCTTAGGCTTATCAGGCAGGAAGGCTCAAGCCAATCTGAGCTTTCTCATTAGCATAAAATCCGTATAGAGGCATCGTAGAGCGCAGCATACCATGAGTAGGTGCGCAACAATCCAGTTAGCCACCACTCTGAAGCTGAGATGGATCCCGATCTGGCTGGCGATGGGCAAAAATTCGACGCGAAGTCTCATATTTAATTTTGCAGAGGATTGAGTACATCATGACCAACAGACCGACAGCTGCATGGCAGAGGTCCCAGTTAGGCATATAGAAGAGGAGAAATCATTTGATGGGTCTTATCTATGAGAACAGAGACCTAGTCAAATTTGATTATCTAGAGAGCTCGCCCGACTCCGTCAACAAAATTGCCAAAGAGGATGCCGACGATTATTGCTAATGAAATCGAGAGGACAAATAGTAGGTCCAGCCACCCAACGCCCGCATATACCCATTCCATTTCTTTTGTTCCACATGTTCTTGACTCTGCTGTTTCTCCGCGTCAACGTTGGGAGGTAGACCAGGGGTGTGCCGACAAGTCTTCTGATCGTCCACGGTGCCTGGATCCTCGCGAGCATAAAACATTCTAATACGGCGAGAGAACTTGATGGAGTCGCGCCACTGCCTGGAAGTAAGCATTCCAGCCGATAGAGTATCAAAGACTGGGCTCTGGTAGATAATCCAGCGAGCGAAGTGTCCTTTAAACCCGTTTTATTTGCCATTCCCGTTACCGCTTCCAGGAGGCGCTAGGTGGATCAGAAATTGTTTTCTGCCAATGAAAGGCAACGGGTGACTTACCACAAGATGTTGTTGATCGGTGAAAGAACTCAAGGAATAAAAGAGGCGAGTGACTAAGCCAAGATGCCTCGGACATTTTCACATGATCCTGGCGCTGTTTTGCTGCTGAAAGAATGTTCATCAAAATCCTGTTGATGTCTATCCGATTCTGGATCGTCCATACTAGAAGTTACCGCCCATCCCTATTTCATTAGTTTCATATCTAACACGTCAAGGATTTTGTTGATTCCTCAGTTTGAAAACGCAAGGTGATGAGCCAATTGGCCGCCTGACACGAGACATATACACAACCGCGAAACAGAAATCGATAGTAGTTACTCGACGAGAGTTACTGCAGTGACTTCGAGGTGGGAAAACTCCGGGAGTCGACGTTCTCCTAATCGACCTGCGTACGGCGGATCATGAGGTGGACAGAAATGGTCATATCGACGAGGGTTGATAGCTCACTGGTAGTGTGCACGGCGGTACGATCAGAGGTTCTATCAACCTTCCCGTCCAGAGCCTTTACTATGGCCTCCGAACTCTGTTGAATCATTGAATAAAGTGCATGGGCTCGCTCCAGAGTCAGACGAAACGTAAATTAAGATTCTTGAACGATGACGCATTGCAGAAGCGCTACGAGCGACCTGGCGATGCTTACTGGTCACAAAGCTCTGTCTCGACACAGAAAATGCTCGTTGAATATGACTGCGCCCTGTTATCGATGGGAGCGACGATCAACGAGGAAACACGTTCAACGATAAAGATGCAAGTGGTGACCCGTGAACACAAGTCGGGTGGCCCGTCAATCTGGCCGACAAGGGAGGTGAGGGAGTTCTGCAGAGTTGAGAGGAGAATGGGCTTGGAGGCTGGTTTTTTTGTAGTACGGAGCACTGTTGCCATCGGATTGAGCCTTCCGCCAGCTAGGAATGGCCAGTTCCTGTCAGGATGCTGAGTTTCGATTTCAGGGCAAGTGAATCCTTATCGTCCAACTGGATGTAGGGGGGTTCATGCGGCCAGAAAGATGTCACGTTCTCCTGCATTGCAACGCAGAGATGAGATCCCGTTTTTGACGGTGACATGAAAATCACTGGTATTGGTGATCGACAAAAATCTTTGATCGATCAGTAGAGTTCTATGTAGCTTCAGTTTGTTCATGTGCACGAGTTTCAATATCGTATACTCCCTCGCTACCCACTTCTATCAGCTTGCCACGGATCTCTATGGCCTGATATTCTCACAATACACCCTCCATTCCCCTCTCTTATAGAAGCGATCGAGCGAGGTGGGCGAATCCATCCATCGATCTGATTATTCTAGGATAAAAGCCGGCACGATTTGCATCACTTTGTGGCTTGCTGGTTGTACAACCCATTCAGCAACGCCTGTCAATCATTAAGGTCCCCCGTTTTCAGTGATCGGCGCAATTTAGAAACCTTCCAATGCTCTTCGCAAAAGTCAACTTTCCCAGGACCGACTTCAACTTTTCTCAGAACTTCCGTTTGTTCTCTGAAATTTCTTCACCTGCCTTCTCCGGGTCTGTAAAGCTTCCAAAGGCTCTCTTCTCCAGATCATCCGCAGTTTGACCCATTTTCCGTGCTCGATGCCTGAAGAAAACCCGCTTACCCCACTTCCAGGACTCTATGCCTAGGAAGAAGAGCGTGGCTTCAACAAAGACGATGCCCCATTCCCAAGAGATGCCTGTGTGCTTGAAAACAACATGATTGATGACCTACGAGCAGATTAGCTTGTGTTGCTCGCGATGCAACGGAGGGCCGGGATCAGACTAACAGGAATGTAGAGGGTGGGAAAAATGGTAACGAAACCAGCGATGATGGCCCAGAATAAGAACTGGTTGCGCCAAACATCGAATATCCACTGGGTGAAGTAATGTTTGCTTCCAGGTTGCATACGGAAGAAGCTCCGGCGCATGTCAACCATCTCCCACGCCAGAAATAAGGCAAACCACGTGAGGCTGACGAAAGTTGTGGCTCGCGCGCGGAACACGGTATCGCATTCGGCTGAATACGAATCGTTGCAGCCAGCCCCGAGGTCGCCATTGCCAAATCCATACAGTACCAGAAGGAAAGAAGAGAGACAGAGTGCGCTCATCCAGAGGCCATAAGCTAGCATGTCACACATCACTTCAAATGTGAACACGCCTCGCTTGAGATTTTGCGGAGGTCTCTCGAGGATATCAGGGCTAGCAGCTTCCATACCTAGACCCATGTCGGGCAGACCGGAGGTGATCATGATGACCCACAGGATTTCGACAGGCGCCAGAGGGAAAACGGAAAGACCTGTGCTGTCTTTAAATGCCAAACCAATTAAAAGTGTGCACGCTTGCGCGATATTCTCGGCGAGAAGATGGAGAACAAACTTCTGGATATTATCAAACATACGACGTCCTTCTTCAATGGCATTGAGGATCGAGGCGAAATTGTCGTCAGTGAGGACAATATCGGAGGCGTCTTTGGCAACATCCGATCCCGCCATTCCCATGGCAATTCCCACGTCGGCTTTCTTTAAGGAAGGAGAGTCGTTGACTCCATCACCAGTCTGCGAAATATCAATAAGCACCATTCTTGAATTGAAAAAGCCTGGAAAACTCGACTTACCATGGCCATAAATGCTCTGCGGCGACGGAGCGCTTCTATCATGCGCACTTTTGTGTTCGGAGCGCATCTGGCTATGACGAGCGGTAGCACAGGCAATTCATCCAGCTGATCATCTGTCAAACGATCAAATTCTGTCGCAGTCATGACCATCGCCTTGGCCATCACATCACTGATGAGGCCCATATCTGGCAGAATGCCAACTTGGATAGCAATAGCACGAGCCGTGCCAGGGTGGTCTCCCGTTAACATGTGGACTTTGATTCCAGCTCTGTGGCATCTCTTGACAGCGGCGGCAGATTCTGGGCGGGGAGGGTCGTAGAGACCGATCAGACCCTGAAATACGAGATTTCTCTCAACATCCTCGCGTGGCGGCGGGCTATCGCGGCTAGCTCTCCGACCTTCTCGAGAATCGAAGGCACGGCTACCGAGGGCTAGAACACGAAGACCTTCCGAGGCAAGGCCTTCCATTCTCGCCAAAATGGCCTCTTTAATCTCGTCGTTCAGTTTGACTTCCGTGTCATCTTCCAGCGACCATTTTACTGTCTCACACGAGTCCAGAATACGCTCAACAGCGCCCTTGGCGAAGACCCTTTGTTCCCCAGACCCGGTGTGCTCAAATATGGTGGACATTCTCTTGACATCGGAATCAAAAGGATACTCGCTGATCTGCTTGTACTGTGGCTTTACACCGTCTAGGAACTTGGATCGATTGAAATCAAATCGGGATGCGAACACCTGAAGCGCTATTTCTGTCGGATCACCACGAGCGTGCCACTTGCCTTCCTTGTTCTTGTGCACGTGCGCCAGATTTGCGAGTGAAGCGACATACAGAAAATCGGTCAATTCGGCATTCCCCTCGATGGCTTCGCTATACGCCAGTGGACTGCCTTGGAACGGATGCTCTCTGTCCGAAGTCGGAAGCGCACTTGCACTATAACTGAGATCGCCGGTCGTCGGGTTAAACGGTTCGTTTGAAACACCAATGGAATAGACTCCTCGGCTCGGAATCCAGCATTTGCGAGCAACCATTTTGCCCTGGGTAAGAGTCCCGGTTTTATCGGAGCAAATGTCTGTCACTCCTCCCAGTGCTTCAAGGGCATCCATCTTCCGCACGATAACGTGGCGTTTGACCATTCTTTTCGTCCCTACGGCCATCGTGATGGTCAGGACCACAATCAATGATGCAGGAATCATTGATAAACCGGTTGCTACAGCGTAGATTACGACTTCAGAATTGCCCGAAAATTTGTTGGCCGCCAAGACGATAATGGCGCATACCACAGCAATCCCAAACAAAAGCATCGCAAGTCGAGAGAGTTTTCGCTGTAGTGGCGTACCAACATTGACACCGAGAAATCGGCCGATAGCGTCGGCAAAGGTCAGGGTCCAAGATTCGGCATAGCGTAATGGATGCACTGAGCCGTCTGAACGCCTTTTCACAGGGCGAACTCTTGAATTGCCCTGTCGCAGAGCCGCAGCAATCGATCCAATCTCTGTCTGCATCCCTGTTGCGTAGCAAACACCACGTGCACGCCCTTTTGTGACTGTAGATGAGCTGTAAGCTACATTCAGTCTATCACCTGGTCCGGTTTCCGGGTCGAATACTGTCTCCTCATCCTTTGCCACTGGAAGGGATTCACCCGTCAAGAGAGCTTCATCCGTCTCAAAATTGAGGGATTCCAGCAGCCTGCGCATTCTTTCAGCAAGGCTCCAACCGTAATATTAACGAATGGCATACCTAAGGTCTGCAGGCACGGTATCGCCAAGTTTCAATTCCACCAAATCTCCAGGCACCAGTTCAGCTGTTGGAATATTGATTGTTTCGCCTCCACGAATGACGTTCGCGGTGGGCGAACTCAAAGATCGCAAGGAATCCATGGTCTTCTCCGCATTAAATTCCTGAAAAAAGCCAACCACAATATTGAGGATGATTACGCCTGTAATCACACCACCTTCAATCCATGACTGGATGGCAAACGAAACGGCCATGGCCATTATGAGCACCTAATCAATAAAAGTTTAGTCTCTCAACCAGATCAAATTGCGAATCCCCCTCCAAGGAACAGACGTACCAGCATCATGGCGTTCGCTACCTGTCGTAAGAGGATTTTGAAGGGCTGAACCCCCGGACCATCATCCAATTCATTGCGACCGTAAAATTCCAGCCTCGATTTGGCTTCAGCAACGGCGAGCCCGTCTTCTGAGTTGGCATTCAACTCCTCGACGATCGCATGACGTTCTAGAGCATGTGCTGGCTTGGACAAACCATTGTCGTGCGCTTTCGCATCGTCTGCCATTGCACGAGTGGTGACAGCAACGGAAGATGTAATGACGAGTTGAACAGAAGGAGAGAATATTTTCAACCAGACACGCCTGAACGACCACAATAAGTTGGAGTCTTGGCCACCTATTGATCCAAGACTGAACAGCCAGGTCGTCGCTTTGTCCACTATGAATGTGGGGCATGATGGTTGCTGAGGCTCACCAAGCTACGCAGGCCAAGGACGACTCGGGATGCTTTGGGTCTGGGTGAACTGGCCGCCAAGACTCAAAGTCTTAGACTTCGTTCCGTCCTACCGAATCGGATTCCTATTGGTAAGCGCCAGCAGCTTGGAGGCAATAATTGAGAGGACGAAAATTGGAACGTGCTGACTGGAGTTATTGCCCGCTGCCTTCCGTCTTGCCGACCTCGACCTTTGTGTGACCGGATGTCGCTACCGCTACCTGGAGCCAACCTCAACTCTGCGAGCGAGAAATGATAATATGGTGGGACAAGCCTTGATGCCCCGTCCAACGTTGTCCCCGGCTGCTAGGCATTCTCAAGTCTGCAAAGGATGCAGTGTGGCCACGGTGGTTTCCGAGCTCAAATCTTCTTGGAAGTGGTGTCTGCAGGTCGATTCGTACGTAACCACTGCATGACTTCACACTTTGAATCCTCCACTATAACTTGCTTTCTCTTCGAAGGCCATATATGCCCCCGCTCACATCACTCGTTCTTTGCCATGCATTCGGAGCAGATTGACGATACTCGTGCTATGTGCTATGATGATACGTCGAAGTCACCGTGTTTGACCTATCGCCTGGATCAGACAATCATGCGGCCTACTGAGCATGAATCAAGTCAAGAAATACAGTTGATGTTGGGAATAGACACTACGATACTGCAAATAATCAAACTCCGATGCTAAAAGTCGCAATCTGTCTTCGGAGAAATTGAGCTGGAAATACTTCTCAGGCATCGTAATTCCAACACTAATGGCGAAGTCATCGGTTCGACACCGAGTTTGAATAGTCAGATACCCGCTTGGCTGTTTTACAATTCCTCTCCAGCCGAGACGATCTCACACAGATAGCAAGTCTCATTTCAAGAGCTTTGTGTGGACGTTCGCAGGACACCGTTTCCAAGTCGACCCCCAGAGCTTTCTCGTCGCTATCCTGAATGCAAGGCACAAACACTCTCATATCTCTACTCTGTGAGCCTTCTGATAGACATGTTCGTGCTTTTCTTGTGGTGATCATGGCGTCAAACATATTTGGCAGGGGACGGTTGCTTGTGATAGAGAAGGTCTGGTGGACAGTCAACCAGGGCATACCTGATAGAATGTCGCTAAAGCCGATCTGCTTGGACGAAGGCTACTACGTCGAATCGGATTGTTGTGGAATCTACAGGCTTTCTTTCATGCTGTCTTCTTTACAATCATTATGGGATGACATCACTCGTGTCATGCAACGGAGGAGGCTGTCCCACTTCGGACTGGGGTTGTTCCGTCTTGCCGGGACTGGAGGATGTCACGCTCCATAACTGGTTGCTCCCATCTCCTTTGCATGGCTTGACGGATATTGTTTGTGCACCCGCTCTAGGGTCATGATTTGGGCACGCCAAGCTGCTTGGGATAAGCGGAGATGATGATTGCCAGCTCAACATACCCTTATCAAGGACCGATTGCCTCATAGCAGGTTTCGGAGGTGTTTATATATCGCCCATTTCGCTCGCTGCCTATACTTGGCAGCACGTCTACTGTATGGCCTCCATCCGGTCCAGCAATGATGATGCCGCTCAAGACACCAGCACCAGCACCATACGGAAAGGTCTCAGTCCGGCCATATGGTGGCTGATGATAGTGGCTGGCATTGTTTTCGTCCTCAACGTGATGTATGAACTGCAAGCTTTGGTCGATCCTCACTCTACCATTGTCTGACACATCAGTAGCAGAGTTCTATGGAGAAAACGCAGTGTCTCCCACGGTTGTTCAACAGGAAACCATACTACAAATGATTCATCAACAAATGGTGATTCGATACTGCATCCCCAGGCAGTGCGCTTGGAGCGTCGACTCAAGACAGGGCGAGTGCGCATTCAAGATTTGGACAAGTTTGCTCCACGACATTGCTACTCAACCCGGAGAATGAGTGTATATCCTTGTCGAGATGGATCGTATCCCAGCTTAGAGAATACTATGGAACGTTCGGCGTCCAACACCTCAAGAGCCACCTCTAGAGGCGTTCTCCCTGAAGCTATGATCGGGCCACCCTTGGGTAATGATGAGAAGAGACCATGGCACGAAGAGCTCCTTTCATGTGTCATCTGTCAAGACCTGCTAGATGGGCACGTCCATGTGCGCGAATTGCGATGCGGGCATGTCTTTCACGCTGAATGCATAGAGAAGTGGCTCACAAAATGTCGCGTCTTCTGCCCGGTGTGCAAAAGCCAAGTCCAGGATATTTCGCGAGGAGACTTGCACAGTACAGTATGAGACACTATCAAAATAAACACCCTACCATGTCCTTTGTCTCTCTGACTTTCCGCTCGAGATTCAGCACACTCTACTATTAACGAGGCTGATCTAGCTACCTCGACTAAGAATCTGTATATTGTCTTACAGATTTACTTGGACACATCTCTGAGGGCCGTAGCAAAGCCCCACGAAGCGGAGTTCGGGAATACTGTAAAGATCCCATGAGCTGGACCACGAAAACAGGGTCCGTTTCCAAGACCATGGCGTGGCGGGGGTGTGCAACTTTCCGCAGCGGCGAGCACACGAGAATTCTGTTCGCCAATTATTGTGCCAAGGAGTTATAAAGCTGCCTGATATCATGGCCAATCTCGCTGCCCGAGAATCGCCAGAGGGAGGATTCCGAAGGGTGCTACTGAGGTATCATATCCGATGTAGCTCTTGGCAAATCTAAGTTATTGGCCATCCATCGCACATATTTCACACACAGTTCTGCTCATGACGCGTCTTCATAATTCTCGAGTCATTTCCGAACTGCTCACCACTGTCATTCGTTCTCCCTGGTTGTAGACATGTCGATGTTGGATATCAGCAACTTCAATATCGTTTGCGCGGTCATTGGAGGATTCATTGCTCTCTTTGGTCTGGTCGCATACCTCGCCAAGGAACGATTTGATCTATCTGAAGCCTGTAAGCTAAGATGTTTTGACCTGCTTTGGACCGAAAAAATGTTTACGTCTTCAAAGTGATCGCACTGCTCTCAGGAGTCATTTTTGGACCCGGTGCCCAATGGATTCGACCAGATGCCTATGCTCTCGATGACGAACTTAACCTCGACAACATCAATCGTAACTTTTGTCGACTCGTGTTGGGTGTGCAGTTGCCTATCACCGGCATTCAATTACCTGCCAAGTATCTCAAGACTGAATGGAAGAGCTTAGCTTACCTCTTAGGCCCCGGCATGTCGTCGACGTGGATTATTCCGAGCATGATCGTTTGGGCGTTGGTGCCTAATCTGGATCCCATTAGTCTAGTTCACTGCGATCTTCTCTCCCAAGCGCAGTGCTGTGATACTGTATACTGTGGTGTAGGTTCATTAGTTTCTTACGAATTCATTGCTAGGCGTTGGATGCGAACATTGCAGGATTGACCTGCCTAAACTGTTCAAGAACCCCCGTTTTCAGCATCATTTGAGCAGCCCTAATCACCATCTTCGGCACGTTGAGCAGCCTTCTGAGATTGAGGATTGGTTATCTACTTATCCACATGTCTTGTCGGTCTACCGTCCACTTCCTGTACCGGAAATAGTCGGTGTGGACCTTGACGTTAGCTTGAAACCTTGCCCATATCGTTCTCGAAAATCCGAAACCGTTGCGTGCCCTACCGCATCATCTGAAGCTGACGACATATCACTTTGCGAAGTCGACAAATTACTTTGGATGTGTCGCTCGTTTATGCTTGCCATGTCCCGCGATAACTGCTGGAGTGAGATATCATTGAGGTGGCCTCCAACCTGCCTTGTTCTCCAACCAAGACCGCGATTTCTCCCGTGAATGATATTCCCGTCAGTTGAGACCATAGATTGTATGGCATCACCTGTTGCGTAGTTATCGATGGTGCTGATGTTTTCCTTAAGGTGGTGATCTGCCTGAGAGCAGATCTCCATACACTGGCGTGTGGTCTCCCACTCCTCCCGCAGCCTTGTGAGATCAGTAAGGTCCTCCGCAGATATACCCGCCGTCTTGGACTTTGAGACCATGCGGTCCATGAGATCATGAAGATGCGTCTCCAGCTTCGCCGCCGTTTTATAAAGACTGTTCTTGCATTCCTGTAGGCCTTGATTGGTAACCTGTTCAGGAAATGTATCTGATTCGGCTATACCGGATGCACTGTCTCGGGGGGTAAGCTGAATTTGATTGATATGCTCTGATAATCGTGCGCAAATTTGGAGGCATCTTCTGGTGCTTAATTGTTCGTCCTTTATGAGTTGCTTTTCTGCTGCGTCTGCGTCGGACTCTGGCATAGCATGTTCAAACGCAGCCTCGAGCTTCTCGTCAATACTTGCGAGATGTGCCTCGAGGTCAGCAGTGGTGGTCTTGATCAGGTCCTGGTAACCTTCGAGAGCTTCGGCTGTAACGGCGGATTTACGTCTGTCCAGATTAAGCAAGTAAGTCAGAATGACATGAACGTGGATCAGAGAGGAGATACTCACAAGTTTGCATCCGTAAGGGCAATACTAATGGTTAACTTGTAACCAGCAAGCAGCCGTCTGAAACCATCGATATCTTCCCCCATGTATTTTAACTTGGCCCAGTCACGAAAGCTTGTCCGTCTGCCCACCGATCGAGAAGTACATTTTATGATTTCCTGCTCAAACTCTTTGCACGAATTGCCGCATCGTAGGAGAGGGAGGTCGAGTGCTGAAAGTGCCTCGTCGGTCGTGGCACTGATTGTCTCATTTAGCGGGCTTAAGACGCCGCTCAACGTCTCCAGTTCTTCTAGGAGATCGCGGACTCGTTTCGGGTGCGATTGAAAGCTGCGAAGAGTATTGTAGAGAGTGAGACTGGATTGGAAGGCGAACGAAGCCAGAGCAAGAAGCCCGGAAGCCAGGCCTATCGGCTCTGCCATGACGGCTTACTGTAGAGTCAGGACAAGATGGAAAAGACAGAATATCTCGGCTGAGGCCTCATGCATCCATGCGGACAATTCATATAGTTGCCAAAGCGAAACCGCACATCACAGGATCCGTGGGCGCCTATTGAAACGGCTCGCAAGAGGCGCAAGTATGAGACAGTCGCAGGTCTGACGCTGGCGAATCGCTCTTGGGGCGCGGGGTAGCGATTGGTGTCTGGGGGTACTTTTTATTCGTCGCTCTACCGCTGTGCTACTCTTCCGATTTGTATGGGTGGTAAGTACATGGCCTGGGTAGTATGGATAGAGTACCAAATTTTGTTCCCTTTAAGAGCGCCCACATGTGGGAAGGAGGCTTCAAGGCAGCCAGAGAAGCTTTGGTTGGTTTTGGCGTGCATCTTCTGGGTTGCCAAGAAGCTCTGTAACCTAATAGTCTTTCAGGTGAAATCACGTCACCCGCTAGGCGCTTAAGTTTCGAGCGCGAGGGCACGTCGCTGGCAACTACATCAAACTTCCCACCTCTTTCACCCTCATTACGAGACAGCGTACTGTAGCCGCTCAGAAGCCCAGAAGGCGGTCCGTGAAGCTACCACATCAAGGTCTTTTATCCGCCCTCCTATTTTAGTATTCGACTCACCAGTAAAACGGAGCCCCCTCAAGGCTTCAAGAAGGGACACAAGCAAAACTCTCCTCGATGGAGCTCCCGTTTGGACCGCTTGGTTAAGAAGACCCAACCAAAACTCAGGACGTAGCCTCTACCATCTCCAGTCAGCGACATTATGGCCTAATGTAAGCCCCCAACAGCATGTTGTGATGGGAGACTGACCCAATACAGCAAGTGCACCCACCTCTTACCCTTTCGCCATCGAACCCTCCGAAGCGGAAAGGAGAAACTGCAGATCCTAAAGAAAATGTCGGATCATGCGATCATCGGCACGGAATTGCGGCTAGACTAATGGCCACGTCAGGACGAACAGGCACTCGGGAAGAATCATTGGAGACTGCTTGGAGACATTTTGTATTCACACAGGGGCCTTTGCATGAATATGCTCACGAGTGGATTGCCTGTTTGAGTTCGGCCATCCTATTAACCATCCATGGGATGTTCCACTAAGAAACTCGTGTCGGAAAGATGATCTATACGGCTCGAGAATATGTGTGATCTAGAAGGGCCTGCTGGTTGGATCCTGAGACGTTTGTGAGGATCGGCAGTTTTGATGTTGACAGAAAATTTAAAGAAAAACTTCATGTATTTGCACTCTGCCTCTACCCTACTCCTTTTTCATTCGCTGCTTAGGCATGGTGCACTGACTGAAAAGCCGCAGCTAAGGACCCAGGCCACGGGGCTAAATAGCTATCAAACATGATCCCTTCTGGAGCCAGACAGTTGTCAAAAGCCCGTCTCTCCGATTGCTTGCCTTGACATGAGTCCCTGCACTTCATCTCTGGGGCAAGGTCGGCTGGCTTGAACCCGGTGGCAACGGTATATGAGTCAGTATCCTGTAACTCATTCCTGTCCACAGATTTCACCGCATCAGGCGGAGTATCAAGGTCGTGGATCGTGTCCTGAGTCGCTGCGACCACGCTTGGCAGATACGTGTTCGTCTCCATACTGAAATTCCGTTCGCAAGGAAACACTGACTGAGAGGAAGAGCCAGAGGCGGGCCTTCCTCTATATGTGGACGGGGGAACGCCAAAGGAGGAGGATACTGTGATTGGACTGCTTTGAGCGGAGTCACCTTCAGCAGGCGAAGTTCGCAAATGGTCGCACAATTTGTCTGAATCCGAAATATCTACATCATACGGTTGTCCCTCAGTTGTAAATGGGGATTGACGACCTCGAAGTAACGGTCTAACGAGACCAAGTCCTTCAAGGATCGCGTCCGTGGTAACAGCACCGGTCGATTCATCTGGAAGCTTTCCTGGAAACCCGGATTTCTGCCGGCATGCCCAGTATAGCTGTTGAAGTGCTACATCCATCACTCCTTGCATTCGAGAATAACTAGCGAACGTTGGCGTTCAATAGTTTGGTAGTTTCTAGCTTACTTACTAATTTCTGGCTTCTATTTTCCTTCTGATGGAGTAAGTGCAAGCACTGTTACATGTCCGACAAGTTTCACACTTCGGACTACCGTCGCACTGTTCGAATTAGAAGCCTACCAGAGATAGGCAGAACAGGACTACCTTGGCCTTCTTGAGTCTGCATCTGTCGCAGGCACGACGTGTCCGTCTATTTCGTTCACCACCATCTTTTCCACTGGCGCGCACCTTTGACCTTGATGTTGGCATAACTCGTAGTCGCTGAGGCAATTAACGACGTCTGTGAACGGAACAGGGCACTCCGGCCTGGAGTTAAGAGTTTGGGACAAAATGTGACGTAACATAACGGCCCAGTTTCGCCACTGAACGTCTGACATCATGGGGAGGTGTAAGGCTTGCTAGTCTTCAATTGAACCCATAAATAGCTTCCGTAGGAGTCTTTCACTAACAGAGTGCGCACCATCTCCGGCTGCGACTGGACGAAATCGGAAGGGGTTGGGTCTAACAATTTTTGGGGGTTTCGCTCTGTCACTGTGAGGGCACGAAGCAAAGGACAACTTACACGTCAATGTGTTTTTCCGACCTCAAGCCAATCCCGACTAAACTTAAGGGTGCAATGATGGGCCTTGGCATTCAATTCCACTCAGGTCATTGTTATTGTCTATCAAGCTAGCAACTCCTTGTTCCTACCTCTCGTGTCGGTTGTGCCACATGCCAACTAAGCTAGCGAGTTTGGAGGGCACTGGTCGTATGTTCAGTTGGTGCACTTTATTTTGGCGGACGCCCGAAGCACTCCGCAACTAAAGGATGGCAAATTGTGAAACTAGTTAAGATAGATTTTGACGCTGAAGAAAGCTGTCTAGTAATTTCATAAGGACATTCGACTGGTCTAAACTGTCTGTGGGTCGTACTGTACGATAGAGAGGGTTGGAGTTTCTATCGATCTCCCCCGGTGACACAGAGCGTGACGTCACAGCGGGAGATGGCTTACTCGCACCTGACGTAGCACGATCTAACACGACCGTTTCAGAAGGCAGACTTGCACTTTTAGAGCTCGCGATGCTATTAAAACGTCGCTTTTACTTCGAATTTACTACGAAGTTCATCGAAGTTAATCACAGTCGAGTAGCCTTTTCTAGGATCTACTGAACTTTCTCTTGACGCAAGTACTACTGCCGCGCTACCTTCGGAAATGGTATCCAGACAGAATGGCAACAATCCCCGGCAAGCGTCCGGCCTGGTATGTAACGCTCCGGAAAGCAAGATATCCCCTAAGCATGACAAGGGCATCTCCAGTGGGAATCCTATTCCCTGCCGGCCCAGCCGACATTATTTGGAAGAACTTCTTGAAATTCAATCACTTCTGGATTCCATTCTGACAGTCATTCGCTATGGAAGGGAGGAAGAAATAGGTGGATTACTAGATTGTATCCGAAGTGGAGCTTCATTGCCTCAAATACGCTATCACCTCCGGTCTCTGGGTACTCGGACAACAGTTAAAACAGGCGAAGTCATTAAGGACGTTAGTTGACAAAGGGGATGAACCCGTTGAGTATTCTTGAATAAACTTGGCACCTGATAATGACCGTGAAATTCGTGAAATTTCGGCGTCTGGCCTATGTTCCCTTACGTTGTGCTCTTCCTATGACGTAACCAGGTTAGTATACCTAAATAGCTGGATTCCGGAGCCGAATCCCGACCTCGCAGATTCAAAGATACTTCTCATCTCTCAGCAAGCAGGATAACCCAAATTAAGCCCGACGTCTGTCGCAGCAGCAGTATCGGAAAATGGGTGCTATCGTCAGCTACGTTCACTTCCTCCTAGACAGCGCCCTCGCCACCGTCAAGCTGGTCCAAAACCGTGAGGTCGGCTGGAAGACTCTCAATCGCAAGACCGGCCTTTATGTGCGCGAACAACAACCGATCTACAAGAAAATCAAGCTATGGCTCTTGTTTAGTCGGCCTATGGAGTGGTTGGACCGTACGTGGTTGCTGAGGTATTGGATGCACGAGAAGACGATAACTTCTGGGAAGAAAGAAGGTACTCGGGCCTCTGCCAAGCAGATAGCATCCTTTGTCGACTTCTATCACATCAACATGGAAGATTTCACGCCGACAGACATCCACGCGTACCGCACTTTCGAAGATTTCTTCGTGCGGCGACACAAGCCAGGCGCCCGTCCAATCTCCCAAAAGAATGACTCCGCTCTCGCCGTCGTTGTCGCGGACTGCCGGCTTGTAGTCTACCCCAGCGTCTCCGAGACTAAACGGCTATGGATAAAAGGACGAAACTTCACCATCGGTAATTTGATCCAAGATGTTGCCGCCGCCAAAATATGGGACCACGGCGCAATCGCGTCCTTCAGACTCAGTCCACAAGACTATCATCGGTATCACTCTCCAGTCGAAGGCACTGTGGAATGGTACAGGCAAATCCCTGGAGAGTATTACCAAGTCGACCCGCTCTGCTTGCGATCCGACATCGACGTCTTGACGGTAAACGCTCGCTGCGCAATCTGCATCAACAGCCCGTCATTTGGATATGTGCTCTTTGTGGCAATCGGGGCCACAGACGTGGGAACCGTGGAAATCAACCAAAAGTGTAGGACTAAGGGCTCACGGCTGGAAAAAGGCGAGGAGCTAGGTTTGTTCCAATTTGGAGGGAGTAGCATAATCGTTGCTTTCGAGGAGGGAAGAATACGTTTTGACAAAGATTTACTCAGTGTGAGCAGGCGTCTGGTGATGATGGATGTGGAAGTAGGGATGAGTCTGGGACGGGCGATCTAGAATGGGTGAGTTTTGTACAGGACTACTGAGGGAGAACTGACAAGAGGATGTGACTTGTTCTACATCTCCTTTGCACCCCTGGATACCTGTGGTTCGTATATGATGTGGATAACGGTGGGCCCATAAGAAGCAAAGCTCCTGCCTCACACTCATCAGTCCGATCACTCTTCCGAAGCAACACTATCGCTCGAGAGGCAGGTGAGGTAGTTACTTCTAATTGGCTGCGGAAGGAAGCTTCAGAGAGGGAATAGGGTCTTTCGCCTGGAGGGAATCGGGAATGCTAGGCTTAAGTACGAGACCACTCGACCAGGTATGTCTGGGGTTCTCGATTGCGGCACTAGCTCTAGAGTAGCTGGAGAATGAGGTTTTATCTGTTGTCGTAACTAGGTAGTGCGCCCTTGATACCAAAGAGTAACGTTGCGACCTCCTTCTGCTTGCGCCAAACCATCCAACAAACGACTACCAATACAATTTCTTCACCACTCAGTGTCTCACTCAATTTCTCAATCGTAGTCCCGGGTCAGAACTTCAGGGCTAACTTCGCGGTGTGCTGTGGCTCTATCCCTGTGGGAAACGTCGGAAAATATCACCCAATTTGTCCAAGGGTGCAGCCATGAGTCCAGCGACGGTTTCGAAGGGAGGCTTATCGGGCGCTGAAGGATGGCTGCGTGTTGGCACAAACATCTTCGTTCTTCCGAAGCTGTTCACCAGTTGGGCGGAATCGCCATCCTGTATCACCTTTTCCAGCTTTGGCAGATCATCTGTTTCTTCCTCCTCAATATGCTTGCCAAGCACGTCCCAGAGCGACTGGATAGTTGGTTCAAACTCTAGGTCAGATGGAGATAAGCCTTGGAACTTGTACAAGAGTTCTTTGACCTGCCCCATTTCTTAGCCAGTGCCCATCTATCCATTATGATTTGCCATTGAGATGTAATTTGCATGCATACCTTGTTATGTTCATCTCGGTCTTTTTGAGCTAGGTGCTTGCCCTCTTCGCCCATGTACTTTTCCATGGCTGGGTATACAACAAGTTCCTCACCGATGGAATGCCGAGCTAATTCCCAGGTGAACTGATTTTGCCAACGAATTTTCGAATCATCATCCTTCGCACTCAGTATGTTGATATAGTATTCCTTCAGCTCTGCATGATCATGCTTAATCGCTTCTGAGACGGTTCCCGTATTGGCGGAAGCCATCGTTGCGGTCTGGGCATCTACTTTAGTCGCGGTGTTTGGATACACAGAACTCTGGAAGCGTGTATGGTAGAGAGACGGTATTCTGGTCGGTGCGTAAACGGGTCGAGTAAAACAAGGGCGAGCAATGTGCAACATAGATATGGACCTTATAGCTGCCATCCCTGGACAAACAAATAGCCACACGACGTTGCGAAGAGAGATGTACAGTGCAACTTTATAGAAAGAATATTTACGTAGTGAAGAGACAACAGTTCGCTATGATGCCGTTGTCTTGTGCTCGATTCGCTCTTGGACGCTGGACTCCGCTTCCGCAACATCTGAATGGTTGGAGAAGCGCCAATCGCATGCTTTTGTTTTGTCATTGTATCTTCAGTACCGTGTGCCAACCTCGTCCCACATGAAGCTGGTGATATAGTGGTTCTGCAAAGGGCGTAAGGACCTACGACGTCCGGGAGCAACTTCCTGTCTCTTCAACGTCAGAGCTTGTGCTTCCACCTCGGAAGCGACTGCATTTTATTATGCATTAAGGATTATCTTTGTCTTGATTAGAATCGTTGTATGTCACGGTTGCTGTCATAGTGACGCTCCCCACAATGTGTCTTTGACGTCGAGAATCACATGTTTTATTCTTTATCTTGTTTAGAGTCATCGTACGTCACTGCTGCTGTCGTAGTGATGAGTACCCTAGTGTATCTTTGATGTCAGTAGTCATCTGGCAAAGGCGCTGCAGGCTACTCAGACAACTCCTTATCTACCCCCCAGTAACAAGCATCTGGGACGTATTGCCTTCTCAAGCTGTAACCGACAAGATGGCGACAAACGCGAACCAAGAGTTCAGCAAGCAGGATACCACAACCGACGATATTCCTCAGGGTGGAGATACTGTTGACAACTCTTATGCTAGTCGGCCAGGTCAGATTAGTATACCTGTGCTGAGGGACGAGACACCGGTTGAGCAACCCAACGACGCACACAATCCTGACTCGGATCAGGCTCTAAGTACGTATATTCAGCTTTTGGCTCGAAGTTTATTGACTATTGTTTTAGGGCAAGATGAAGCAGAAGCAATCGACAAACACAAGATTCTGAAAGGTGGTCGGACTCGAAATGCGACAAAACCAAAGGGTACTTATCAAGATCCAGAGGGAGAGGCCGACCTTCCTGAGAATGACGAGACTTCTGCCGTGCGTTGATCTTTTGCCGACCAAATATAGTACTGTTGCGCTCAGACACATGAGATTGGGAATATAAGGATGTTTCTCGAATGACTCTCGCGCTTTTCGGTGAGCATTTACAAAAAGACTGAGGTCTCAACAGCGACTTAGGAAGAATCTAAGATGTTGAATACTGTCACTCACTACTCCTATAGATATTGAAATTCTTTGATTGCGAAAGAATTGCTAAGTTATTCTTGAGCGATTGTACATCGCGTAAATGTAAAGTTTGCTGTGCAATGGACGTACATTAAAGACAATCGCCGCGAGCGCATACAACTTAGAAAAGAGGTCCGCGCTCCATAATGATATTTAGATGTACCAAACCTAGATGTGAAAGAACGCTACTTCCAAAGAGTGGTTTGTAGATAGCGGATCAAAAAGCGCGAATGTAGACCATAAAACTTCTCCTTTCGAATTAGATGGTATATTGAGGACGAATACAACCAGCTGACATTATATAAAATGCCTTGTTCTATTGTGCCGTATCCAAGTGTAATAGCATTGTTTAGGCCTGTCCCGTCCTTGCACGCCTCAGTACCAAGATTTAAGAGCTAGAACCTCCTTTCCTGCCTGCTTCTCTGGCTTTTTCGCTGCCTGGTTCAAATGACCCACTCGAGGCCTGGCCACCCTTGGAAGCAATCTCGTGCTTTGTCGTAGTTAGCAAAAGTCTACTGGTAGCGGGTGACAATTGGCGTTTACTTGTTTGTCAGGATCCATGGATGCAAATCCACCAGCGCTTGACTGTCCTCCTTTGCTTGCAATCTCCTGGACCTCCTCCTTGGGGCGGTTGGCAAAGTTTCCAGGGTTCGTGTTGCCTGTAGAAGACATGGTGAAGATATGGCTCGAAGGTGGGATGTGTTCTGCCTTTTCAGGCTGCCTTGTAGGGGGTTCGAATTGGTTCTTGTAACCGTAAAGAATTTGAGTTCGTCAGGAATGGGAAGCATTATATAGGAAGATTGGGAATACACTGCATCATAAGTCGTTTGTGACCTCATCCAATGAAGAGCACTAAGGAGCGTGTTGGCGTCATTGACACGGGTCTTCTTACTGGGAACATGCTGTCTAATAGAGACACTTGCACATATGTGGATAAGGATCTTCTCCTCGCTAGAATTTAGAGTGTCAAAATCCTTTGTCGTTGGTAATTCGTCATCGTACTAATGAAGAGAAGGATCTCAAGATCGAGATTCTCTACGATATCACTAACCTTTCTTCATTGTTTACGTCAAAGGGGATATTCCATGCTCGTAACTAGAGGTAGATCAGGCCCTAAAGGCCGATGTTTATCCTGCAATAGGAATGTTACAATCAGACGATTGTGTAATATCAGTCTATCCGCAGCAAATGTCGCTACAGCGGGAGCAGCGTCTCTTTAGTAACTGCGAATGTCCGGTACTAGGCATCTCTGTGTGACGATGCACATGAGAATACACCGAATTGCAGGTTTCAAAGGTCCGAGATCCTCTGCTCAAAGCAAAGTTTGTGAAGCTTGCGATGCGGCGTTGAATTTGGGTGGTGGAGGAATGTACACAAGCGTGATACCAGCAGCAGAATAGGTCTGCGCGATGTGATGGTGAAATGAAGCGTTATCCATAACCAGGATCGACTCATGGTCACAATGGTGCAAGCGTTGCTCAATAAACTTTCAAACAGGGAACTGTTGATAGTACCTTAAAGATATGCATGTATAGGCGAGCGCGATGTCATTTTGTGAGCATGCAGGCAAATCTGATCAAGGCTGACATGGCTGGCCACGGGGTGGCTGCATGTTTGGCAGCTCCTTGCCGGCATGTAAATCGAGTATTATCGTTGACAAGGTGTGACATTGTGAGATAAAATACGACAGATCAGTCTTTCCTGTCTCCAACGGCGAACAGCGCTGATTTTAGACAAACGAAATGAGACTGCTTTTGCCATTGAAATGTGATATGAGATGTTCCATGATTGAAGTTGGCCATGTGACAGGTCATGCCAAGCCGTGTGCCAATTGACGGTGACTGGCTGTAACACAGGCCTCACAACTCCTCCCTTGTCATGGTTGATAGATCACAAAAGCCAAAATCTGATGATTTGTCATTCCCATGGCGCCCGCACTGTCCGGTAGAGTCTGTAATAGAAGGAAAAACATTGTACGTGGCCTCTACAGCACACTATTAGTGATTCAATATGCAAAATGCGACAACCCCCGAGTGACGATGAGTTGTTGCTTTCACAGAAGCTTCAAAAATAGTCACGTGCTGTCTCTTTCGAAAGTCGCCTGGCCTCAACTCAGCCACATCTGCAGCTTCTTCTCGCCTCCACCCGTCCAGCGCTCAAGCCTCATCCTCAATATCTCACCTTGCATGAGAGATACAACGCTTCACATTATACAGTATCTACCATTGATCTATCAATTAGAAGAACTATCCCACTTCGCTAGTAATCTACGAAAGGTAGACGCGAGACGTGCATGGCTGGTTTCGCCACTCCGAGCTGACGGTGCCTATCCCGCTGTCATCCTCACCCCAAGTACTATACAGTACCAACCGCCAAGCTCGACTCCGCTCACTCTCCCAATGCAGTATTCAATGCAGTATTCTGCGATTAAGAGCGCCGTCGACGCCATATCGAATATCTTACCGTAAAACCTTCAACCGGACCTCACTGATCCCTCTTGACGGGTTTCGGCGTCTCCTTTCCAGAGTGGTCTTTCCATTGCGACGGTAGGCCAATGATTTAGGGTCTTTTGTCTCTCGGGGGCCTCCCCGCAAACCACCACAAACAAGGGTTTCCATTGATTGTTGACCTTCGGGTCATTGATCTTTCCCCTTCCCAAACTTCTCTTGCCGTCTGCTGCATTTCCTCCCAACGCCGTCTACTCATCTGCTGTTCTGTCTCCCATCGCGTTCTTTCCTGAGCTCTCTCATATTCCCAGCGGTCTCTCTCACGTTCTCTCTCCCTCACCCAGGCATTCCTTTCACGCACTCTCTCCTCCTCCCAGCGTTCTCTTTCACGCTCCCTCTCCCTCTCCCACTGCTCCCTTTCCTGCGTTATCTGCCTAACCCACTCTCCTCGATCGTCTAAAACACGTCTCTCCAGGCGATCCAATTCGGTCCGATACTCGCGGATGTCAAGGCAATTTTCTGGCTGAGGCTCCTCATTTCCTGACTGTCGGAAATGTATGGTGATCGTCCAGTTAGGTCGAAGAGTCGCCTCCCATATCCTTGGAAGGATGATGTTTCCATCCGGCCCTGACAGCTCGAACTGACTTTGGCGTATGTTGGCCAGAGGTTGCCGGCAAGCATCAGCTATAAGGGTTTCCATGCCCTAGACAAGGCTCTTGTTAGTTTCTGATGGAACTCCACACATCGAGCGCACCAGCCATGTCTGACAGCTAGAATAAGGGAACGTGAAAGGCCGCCCAACATCGTTGATGAATGTGATAAATGCTGCTTCCGCTGTCATCGGTTAGCAAACATGAGTTGACCTATCTTCATGAGAGACAAGACTGGCTCCATTATTTTTGGTCCTTTTGAAGCTATTGACTCTCATGGGATTGAGTTTGGCGAGATGATTTGCATGAAAGATCCGGCGCGAACAGTAGGAAACGTGGTGGTATCTTATTGGTATAGCCCAAAAATGCACAAACCTGTGAAGGTCCTTGCAGCTTAAATGCGTACTTTGGATGGATGCTCTTGCATGCGTTTTTCCTAGTGTGCTTTAGCCTTGCATAATTGTGTAGCGGACGACACTACCTGCTCATTATCGGCGAGTTTATGTTGTGTAATGGGTTAGTGAAAGACTGGTGTCCTCCATAGCTGCTGGCAAGGTCGAGAAGCATTTTGACAGCACGTGACAATTTAGTATGCTTCGCGTCATAAACACTCCTACTCACAATCATGCTGACACATCCTCGCGTCCATTCGTGTCGAGTCTATGTCGACTCGGTGCACCAGCAAGAGCTGGACTCTTTATTCTCTCCTAGTCCTTGGCGACCTCGTCATTTACAGCGACCACTTGATCTAGGACCTGCGGACGTTTTCGTGGGCACAATACCATCGATAATATGGCCACAGTGGCTGTCTGCGCGTTGCGAATCACAGAATGTCTCGGATTTGACATGCTTGGAGGAAGACCTGGCGGTAACAAGGTGACACTGCTGGATTGATGCCACTGTGGACTTGCTTCGCTTTGGAACCTGGCAACTCATTGCAAGTAACACACAAAGGCTGTGAATAAGGTTGCCCCATTATCGGCATCTTCTATACGTTAGATGCTTCAATTTGTTCCTCAATAGACTCTGGAAGCGAACAGAAACAAGTGACGGAAGGACAAGTCGTAAGAGAAGGCACATCACGAGCAGGTGATGCGGTCAAGAGTGTAGATTGAATTCAAGAGGTCTTCCTCTTGTTCTTATATAGCGGTACACTGTCCGTGTGCGCCCGATGTTCTACTCACTATCGCTGCTCAGCGAGAGGACATCCGTCTGGTCGTCATCATCCTCCCGCGTGCTCCGGGTTTCATTACCGGACCCCAGGTAAATATCCCGAATGTCGCCTTCTTCGAATCTTCGTTTGCACCAAGGGCAACCTTTGCCTTGTCCAAGCCATAATCCCAAGCATTCTCTGCAGGCACTGTGACCGCATGGAATCGTGGTATCTTTAAAGGCCACCATACAGATATTGCACCGTAAGTGATCAATCTTTTCCAATTCCTTGTGCGCAGCTTCCAAATCATTGCTCAGTTCTTGATTCTGACTGCGTAGCAGCCTGTTCTCGTTTATACACTGCTGCAACTTGCGAGTTTGCTGTCGAAGCTTTTTCCGAGTATTTTCGGCGATACTCTGAACGTCTGGTCGCTGTCGTCCATGCTGAGCGATATAACGATCCAGTTCAGCCTGTTTGGCGAGCAACATCGTCTTCAATTGCCGCGCCTGCATCAACAGTGAGGAGAATTTCCTCCTGTCGAAAGCACCAAATATAACCGAATCGTGTTCGACCCGGATTTCGCAGTCGGCGTCGTTGAGAAAATCTTTGATGTTGGGAGTATGCTGCATCTTGCGCTTCTTGGAGAACAGCGGCGTGAGCAAGGAGTTGGACATATAGAAAGGGACGAGGGCTGGAGCAGGGCTAGAGCGCCTTCTTATACCCCTAGAATTTAGTGGGTTCACAGCTGCTACACGAGCCTGGTCGGGCGCCTTTACCATTCACATTCCGGGATTATCGACTCCTGAGCGTGTCGTGCCTGGCGTATCAGCAGACCAGCGACCCCAATGACGTACGCTGCTGCACGAAGGATGCCATCACGCATCACCGAAATTATGACCAAGAGGCAATGTGCCCGTCAGGGTCCAGAGTCCATGGTGTCCAATCAATATGCACCTTCGATCCCTAATGCGAAGAACAGGGGTGACTTTGAAGACACGGTGCAAGGTTGCCTGATTACGCCCTTGCAGCTGAACTAAGAAGACTAACTTTAGCTGGCTAGGGTAAACGTGATAGTTGGCTGGGTCCCGGGTAACAGATACATCTAGGCGCCAGAGAGCGAATGGGTAGCGCAATATGTCTTGCTTAGATCCTCGTCGTCCTCTTGTCGGTCAACTGAATCTTTAGGCTCAGTCGAGGTGATCTTGGGGTTGACTCTCGTGGATACTTCTCATTTTGACCAGATCATAAGCAGGCTCTGTTAGTAGAAATTTTTGATCATAGGCGGTGGGAGTCCTTGGGTTCCATGTTAAGCAGCAGAAAATGACGACTGAAACGACTTGAGATGCATCACTTCTTCAGCAGAAGCTCTGTGATCTGTTCACTTTGGTGTCTGAGTTGTTCATTTTGTTCCTTGAGTTGATCACTCTGCTGTTTGAGCAATTGCACAAGCTCTTTTCGTTGTTGCTCAGAGTCTTTTCGTTGTTGCTCAGAGTCTTTTCGTTGTTGCTCAAGCTGAGCCACCAACAAGGCCTCCCTATCCTTTGCATCCTTTCGTTGTTGCTCGGAGTCTTTCCTTTGTTGCTCCAGCTGCCGTTGCAGGTTCTGAATCATGGTTCGAAACTCGGCATTCAAGCCCCTCCCTCGCTGTGGTTTGCGAAACCCCTCATCCTGGGATTCGGGCGCACTGCTGTCATCCTGCGAGCTTTGTACGCTGAGGTCGTCGATGTTGGCCGGTTCGAGTGTTCTTGTAAGCGGATCAGGCAGCTCATCAATCACGGCGGTGAGTCGCTTGAGCAGAGCCGGAGCAAAGATTTGGCAAACGTTGAGAGTAAACTGGTAACTGATCCATCTGTATTCGCCCGATTTGTCTCCAACGTTGAGTTCTTTGATTGTCTCGCGATAGTACAACGTGTTCTCACCCTGCACCTCAGGATAATGAGCATAGATGCGCACGCTCCGGTCGTCATGTGAAATGGAATATCCCAATACCCTCCTGTGCACCTCCGAGGCACGGTTGGCCTTGCGAAAGACGTCCACAATTCCCCTCAGGGCAACAGTCATGCTATGAGCATTCGGTAGATCTGCTAAGTCAAGTCCCTGCTTCCCACACTTCACCTCGCTAGTCAGGAAGGGAAAATAGATGTCCTCGCGCGCCGTGTAGTATGACTTCTCCAAGGGGTCGATGCGGAGCTTCCGGCGCTGAATTTCGGTAAAGTTGGACCATTTGAATCCGTATGTACGGTCCGGCTGCGGTCGGGGTCCATAGAACGAAATTCCTTTGACCCAGGGGTCATTGTGACCTTCGATCAGACCGCGAAATTCTTCTCGACCACTGATGGACAGGTTCTCAACCGATGGGACGAGGAGGGGATGCAGATCGAGATAGACTCGAGCTTCGGATCGGCCTCGAATCAGGGTCTGAAATTTGTCGAACCGGTCATCAAATAACGAATGATCGGGACGCGGTTGGTGCGTGGAGAGAAGCTTCTCGCACAATGTCTTGTCTTCTTTCACGAGACCAGCATCAGAGGGCCGCATAAAACTGCCTTTCGTCTCCAAGACCACCGGGTAGTTCACATCTTTGTACGCCGAGTATTTCTTGTCTGCTGAAACCGTGGATTCCGTGCCGTCACCGGATTGCGAAGGTCGGCGGCTTAACGAATCCGAGGACCGAGATCTTTTCGAGGGTGGCAGACTCATGGCGTCTTGGATATCGCATTCCTCGCTAGGTGGAACGCTTGATAACCACTTCTCCACAAAAGCACCGATGTCCGATGGTTGTAAAGGCGAGCAGGCTCTCTTTGCGGATGGGCGCTCGGTATGCCTGTCCGGCGATCTTGTCTTTCGTTCTGGTACGGGAGAGTTGGCAGGAGACGATTCGCGATGTAACTGCGTCACCTTGTCAGCATCTTTCCTCCTGTAGAGACCTTCATTGCATCCACTCACGTCGTCGGTTTTTGTGGCAGACGGAGATGGAAGTTGACGGTGCAGCTTCGAAAGAGGGATCTCAGGAGTGAGGTCTTCCACCAGGGAATCTGGAGAGGCGTGTCGAAGGTCAGATAAGCAGCGAATCTTGTGAGGACGGTCGCCGTCGTCGCTCTGCACGGCGTGTCGTTTGTCTAGAAAGTGTCAATGATCCATTGATCCTGCGTTCCCACTCGTTCGAAGCTCTTACCGTGCAGATTGGCCTGTTCGTGACTCTGCACATTCATGGCCCCTGTATCCGGTGATCCCATGTGTTACAGAGGAGAGCAAGCGCTCTCGCATCAATCAGCACTGTGTCATGTCGGTCTCTTGAAGAATCGAAGCCTTCGGGTTCGTTGGCACAGGAAAGAGCGCAGGCTGAGGCGAGTAGCACTGTCATCCAATCAAACGGGCTAGGTTGGGTGTCACATGCGACTTGCCGAGGGCGCTTATTCATCTAGGCCAAGACAGGCCTCGCCGTTAATCACGACCACTTCAATCCCGTCTTGCTCTCATCGGTTCACATGCGTGTCGCGACGCAGTTTTTGAACTACATCCGCCGACCTCATCTGGATAGGTAGTTCGCTTTCGAGAGCCCATCCTCAAAGGGTTGAAGACTGGCCGATGACGTGTGTGCGTGCTATTTTTGACAAGGCTATTTTGTTTACACCATCGACCTCCGGCGGTCATCTTGACGAGTTCTTGACGAGTTCTTGACGAGTCTTGTCGCCCTCATCTTATCTCCCACTTCTGCCGGTTGAATGACAAAGTGTGCTTTCTGGGGCGCGAAGGAAGTTAAGTGACCGATAACTGTTCCATCCATTGAGACCCTCACTGTTTGAATCTATCTGTCGATTTTGCAGATTGAAGTATTGGCATAAAACGAACGCCTTCCTCTGTTGAACACACACTAGATCCAGTCAATACCGCTCCGCTGACAAGTGGCCAGCAAATCTCATCGTCACCAATTCCCACCCCTCTTCTCTTTAATGGCTTTTGCCCACAGCAGTCACCTCCCTCATCGAGAACAGCAAACCGCGACCCTGTCAAAACTTGTCTCCAGACGCTTCACCGTTTTCGGCCCTGGAACCTTGCCTGTTCCCACGTCCTGCCTGCTTCTTCTTATCCTCGCTTGTACCCTCCGTACGACGACCCTGACCGCTGCATTCTTTTCCGTTTAGATCGCTCCTCCTTGTCAACCTGATGCCTTCCCTCACAAGACTTCTCGACATTATCCGCTCATACACCTGGAGAGAAAACAAGGAGACCAAGCTCGATCGCTTCGACGGTGCGGTGCAGACTGGTCGGCAATGGCCACACAAGAGAATGTGCGCTGGCTGATAAGGTTGAGTTCATTGACAGTGACGCAGATGAAGCTGTT